GGTTTTGCAATAAGAAGAGCGCTAATAGGCAACTCAGCAACAATTAGTTGTGAAATTCCCCTTAACAGATATTCTTTCTTTGAATCATTAGAGGACAAACTTCTTCCAAATAAAAAAATTGAGTTGAATGTAGAAATAGAATCAGATAATAATCTTATTTGGAGAACTGGAGGTAATGTTTGTAGAGTTATACTAACAAGATTTCAACTATTTGTTCCAAGAATAACATTTAACTCAGATGGACAAAAACTATATATGGAAAATTATCTCAAGCCATACAAATGGGTGTATCTTAATGAAGTAGTAGAGCGATCAAATAACTCTCAACAGCAAACAGGTCATTTTAGAATTACAGATGCTATCTCAAAACCACGTCATGTATTTGTTTTTGGAATTAACACAGCCAATATTGGTTCTCAAACAGCAAATCCATTTTCATACAACACTTTTAACCTACCAAACAATGCAAATATATCTCGCTGTTATCTCGAGGTTGGAAATGGAAATGAGTGCCCAGATATTCACTTTAAACCATCTACAGATCCAGCAAGAGTTTTCAGAGAAGTAATGGGTTATGTTTACGCAAATAATGACTTTCAAGGTGGAACACTACTTAATAGAACAAATTTTGGATCTTTGTTCCCTTTTGTTTACTTTGACTTAACAAAACAAAAAATAGATATAAAAGATGGAGTTACAAAATTAGCATTTCATTACGAATTAACTGCTAATCCAAACGCTTATTATAATATTTACGCTCTGGTGCTTCATGAGCGAGAGGCAGAAATAGAACAGCAACGTGGAAAACTATTGCTAAGAGCTTAATCTCAAACATACCTGCGTCCTTCCAACTGTTTCAAAGTGTAAGACATAATCAAATTTGTATACGAACTGTTATAATTACATAGAATTTTACACAAGATTTTATAATTACACAGAATTTTATAATTACACAATATTTTCTACAACTTGTAGAAAATGTTGTGTAATCATTTGATTGGTTGAAAAAATCACATGATAATCTCGTGATTTAAAACAATAACCTTCTAGAAGGTCACTATGACATAATATTTAGATTTTGAAAATAAAATCTAAATATATCACACCTAGAACATTCAAACTAATTAAAAAACTTAACCACCAACTGAGAGAAAACAAATAAAAAAAGATTAAGTGATGTGATTAAATTTTATATAAATATTATAATAAAAAAATGACTACTTATATAGAATACGGAGTAACACTTACAGAAGGGCAAAAGTCAAAACTGGCTTCTGCGATAATAAATCAAACACCACTAACTCTTCGATTAAAACATTCTCATCTTCGAGGTTCTGATGAGTTAATGTTGACAAAAAGACAAATTGATAAAATAAAAAAATTCTATTGCAAATGGTACTGGATCGGATATAAAAATAAGTAAAACTCAAATTAGAAAATCTGTGAAACATGGTGGAAACTTATTTTCATCACTCGCATCTCTCGGAGCAAAAGTTCTTCCTTACGCAATAAAAGGAGTTTCAAAAGTTGTTCCCGCATTAGCAACTGGTGCTGCAACCGCACTCGGAGAAATTGGATTAAATAAAATATTTGGAAAAGGAATCACAATTCCCCCACAGTTTTTTCCAATGTTAGCACCTCTTGTAAGTGAATTTACCAAATCACAAATAAATCAAATCAACAAAGCTTATCAAACAGGAGGACAACTGGTTATTAAACCAACTCGTAAACAGATAGAAGGAGGATTTTTAGGTACTCTTGCTTCTATTGGTATTCCAATGGCAATTAGTTTAGTATCTAAGATGTTTGGTGGGGGACTTCAGGTTGATAGACGTGGGTCATCTAATACAGGAAATGTTTACGTTCCACATCCTCCTCCTCCTCCTCCCACACATGGAGAGGGTTATCCTTATCGCTCACCACCCTTTATTGGTACATGGGAAAACCCTATAGGAATGGGAGTTAAAAAAAAAATTCCAAAGGCAAGGGTCTAATATTAGGAAAAAACAGCCCATTCAACTCAATTCCCATTCTCGGCACCATTTTGTAGTGGGGGAACCTATGGTTCCCCCTACACCCCCCTCCCTTTACCATTCTCAACACCATTTTGTAATTAAACCTCTATCCAACTTTGACCTCATGAAATGGGTAAAAAGACTTGGTATTAAACATTTCAGAGGAATATATAGTCGCGATGGACTACCAAAAAAAATCAAAAAAGAATGTGGAATAATTAATCTGGATGATATAACAGGACCTGGAACACACTGGGTTTGTTATAGAAATATAGATGGGGGGAGTGGTGTGGTTGAGTACTTTGATCCATTTGGACTAATAATGCCAAATGAAGCACTGGAGTATTTTCGTACTTCCGGAAAACGAATAGTTTACTCAATGGATGAAATACAAAATCGCAGTACTGTTCTCTGTGGTTATTGGTGTTTATATTATTTATTCGAGCGACAACAAGGTACTAGTTTTCTAGATGTAATACATAACCCTCATTTTGATAATGACAACAGCGATTTTATAAAGTCATACTTTGGAGGATAAAAATAATATTTATTAAATATTATTTTTTTAATCTTCATCATCATCATCCGGCGCATTTTTTAGTAATTTAATTCTTTCAACTTTTGTATTAAGATCTTTAACAATATGAACTATATCATTAAATTTTGAGTAAATGTCAATAAGACGATAAATTTTCTTCTTTTTATCACTATCTATTTTCAACCAAGAATACTCCTCATCTCTGATTTTTTCCCACATCTCACATTCACCAGCCATTAGCACTCTAGAAAGATCGTCGTTTTTCTTTCTAAGAGAATCAAAACTCATTATTTATTTTTCTCCTTACTTCTTTCTCGAAATCCTTGAGTGTTTTAACATCCATCTTTTTCTCTATCTCAGAAAAGAATTTGGCTTCCATTTATTATAAGAATAGATAGTTTCCTTTTACAACTTTGTTGAGCTTATTTGATTTCTCACTTATTTCCATAAGCAACTCAAATATTTTTATAAATTTAGTATCGTTTTCCAATCTAGAATGATCTACATATTCATAACTCTCGTTTAAAAAATTATATATCTTTTGAAGTTCACTTTTAACAAAATTAGATCTGGTAGACATACTTATTAGATGTATTTTATCTAAACATTATATTAAATGAAAGAATCTTATTGCATTAAAGATAAAAGAGTAACTCCTTGCACAGAGCCAAGTGGTTACCAATCTGATAAACGTGGGCGCGCTCAATTCTTCTGTCATTGTGCAGTTTGTGGAATTAAAAAAGTTAGATACGTGAAAACTGGAACAGCTTCTCAAACTGGAAGTGGAAAAAGAACAACTAAAAAGAAGTCAAAAAACTAGTAAGCCCGTCTGAAGGGGCGGGCGTCTTCGATACTGTTGTTGGTACAGCAGTTGATGGATTTGTTCATTACGGTTTACCTTGGATGGGTAAAAAAGCAGTTGAAATGGGGAGATATGGAGCAAGCGAGTTAATGAGAAATAAAAATCTTCAGGAGAAAGCTGTAAATTATGGAATTAATAAACTCACCCCATTTATTCAAGATTCTGTTGGATCAGCCATGGATGAACTATCAACAAAAGTTAGACCAAATAAAAAGTATAAAACTGATAGACCAGAATTAGATGGAAAAGGAATTGATGTTCACAAATGGATTGGAAAACTTCCAAAACCAAAAGCAGGATGGACTCCAGGTTCTTATAAATATATGGGTCCCTACAATCCTCTAGACAAACAATTAAGTTATAATCCTGAAACCGGAAAAGTGACAGAGTGGAAAGTTAAACCGTATAACAAAGTCGATGAGATTGCAGCTTATCACGATATTTGTTACGACATGGGAAGAAACAAAGGTGATTGCGATAGAGAGATGGTACAATCATTGGATGAGATACCATATGGTGAAATGCCAAAGTGGGGCTCAACTGCTAGATTCTTGATTAATACAAAACAAAAACTTGGTCTTGGCATTCAAAAAAACGCGAGTCGGCGTTGAGTAGTGATTGGTCTCAACAATTAGCCGACGAACTTCACAAACCAATCACACGAAACTTTCAAAAGAGATCAGTAGTCTCAAACGGAATTGATGATATCTGGGCTGCTGATTTAGTTGAAATGCAAAAGTTTAGTAAGTGGAATAAAGGAATTAAATATCTGCTGATGGTTATTGATGTGTTTAGCAAATATGGATGGATTAAACCTCTGAGTAACAAAAAAACTGAAACTGTTAGTAAAGCATTTGATGAAATATTTAAATCAAGTAAACGTAAACCTCAAATGTTATGGACTGATAAAGGTTCCGAATTTATAAGCAAACATTTTAAAGATTTTCTGAAAAGAAAGGGTATCAAGTTGTATCACACTGAAAACGAGGAGAAATCTAGTGTTGTTGAAAGATGGAATAAAACAATGAAAAACAGAATGTGGAAGATGTTTACTGTGAATAACAACACTATTTACTGGGATAAGATAGATAAACTAGTTGATGATTACAATAACGCTAGACATTCTAGTATAAAAATGACTCCTGTTGAAGCAAGTAAAAAGAAAAATGAAAGTAAAGTTTGGTCTAATTTGTATGGTGAATCTATTTACTTGAAACCTGGTAAATCAAAGTTTGCAATTGGTGATCGTGTTAGAATTTCTAAGTATAAGAGAAAGGTATTTGATAAAGGCTACACACCAAACTGGACAGAAGAAATATTCGTAATTGATAAAGTTTTACCTACAAAACCTGTTACGTATAACATTGTTGATCTGATGGGAGAAGAAATTAAGGGTTCTTTCTACAACCAAGAATTACAAAAAACAAAACAACAAACATTTAGAATAGAAAAAGTTATAAGGAGGGATAATAAGAAAAAAATGGCATTAGTAAAATGGAGTGGGTATCCTGATAAATTTAACTCATGGGTTAGTTCTAAGGATTTGGTTGATTTTTAATACGAAATTCGTATTAAAAATAGTTATTTACTCGTTTTCTTCATCAGAGATAACTAAGTCTTCGTCTACTTGATCAGTTATCTCTTCAATATCGCTTTGCTCTTCATCTTCCTCTTCAATTGTTAGTAAAGACTCTCTAGGTTTGAGTGGTTTGACATAACACTCATGTACTTTTATTTGTAAAGATGTCACAGTTTTACTTATGAAGATTCCTTCAATTATCAGAGCCAATTTAACATTACAGTACTGTTCGATATATTTAAAAGGATTTAAATCTTTACCTCTCTTTCCCTTAAACAAAGATAACATTTTCTTTGATTTTTCTGAGTAAATAAGTTTTGCATAAAAAACTGGTGCAGATGAGGGATCTATTCTTGTTTTCTTCTTTCCTTTCTTATCCGTATATTCTTCCTGTTTGTGATATAATGGTGAAGTAAGAGTCGAAGCTAAATCTGGGCCATATTCATTCTCTAAATGTTGTTGAGATAGAGTTGTTATGTTATTAATAACTTCCAAAAATGCTTTTTCTTTGTTATTTGGTTCGCTATCTTTAGCCCAAAGACATACTGGAATACTATAACCTACTAACTTTTTTGTTTCTTGATTTTTCTTTTCACTAACACCAAAACTAAAAAGAAATGGGGTTTCGATTACAAGCGGTCCTTTCTTTCCATTCGAATATTTAATTTCAATTGGGATACGCTTGTATTTAATCTTACTATCTTTGACTTTAAATTCTTTGGCTTCTTTAAAGATAATATTGTCTTGGGTAAGATTTTCGTAGCTGGACAACTGCATTTTTGATTATAATTATTTAATCTTTAAACATTTTTTTCTAAAAATTCAAATTTGTATCTATCCCCATCTTTTTTGGAAATCACTGTTTTATAATATTTTACTTTTCTACAAATATTAGAAATAATTGAAAAGGAAATATCTAATTCGAGAGAAGCAGAAGTAATACTTTCATATTTTTTTTGTTCGTTATTTTTGATATTAAATGATAATATAGGTTTGCTATTTCCTTTTCTAATATTTTCCACCAAAGTTAGTAATTGTAAATTGTAAATTTTATTATTTGTTCTAACAGAATCAATATGATCAATAACAAATCCTTCTGGAATAACACCTCTTACACATTCCCATTCAAACCTGTGTATATAGTAATTCTTTGGTTTAATCAATTTTTTATCATTAACTTTAAACTGATAGTATCCCATATCAGTCAAATTTTTTTTTAAAATTCTTCCAGTTTTTACATTTAAAATTTCACCGTCTTTTGAAGCGGCATAATTAGTAAAAATAGGATGAATATAATATTTCTTTCCGTCAATTGAAACTTTTTTGCGCGTCATTTTTAAAAATTCTTTTAATTCTTAAACCAATTTACTACCAAAGAAGTTTTGTTGACCAATAGTTAGCCGATTCTGGATTATTATGAGTAAATTCTCCTTGTTTATTCTTAATCTTTGTAGCTCGAGCAAGATATTTATCTCTTCTATCTTTGTCTTTGTGAGTAAGATAATCCGCATATTTTGTCGATCCAAAATGAACTTTTTTTCCACTTGGAAGAGTGACCATGTATTTGTTATTTTTTCGTGTTGAATAATCAAGTGATTCAGCACCGAGTTTTTTAGCATTTCTGGTTAGTTTTTTAAACTCTTTTCCACTAACAAGATACTTATCGTTTGGAACATAATCTGGGTCCACATCTTGTCTATAACCATCATCAACTATAAAATCCAAATCCTCTTTTGTAGGAGTAGTTTCTCTTGATTCCATTTTTATTATTTGTTTATACTAATCCTAATTCTTTTTCAAACTTTTGTTCCCTTCTATATATTTCTTCTTTCTTTCTCTCTACATCCAACCACAAATTCACAACCTTCATCTTTTAAAAACTTTATTATCTCTTCCATTTAATATTATAATCATATTAAAAAAACTCATAACAAAAAAAATGTTATGAGTTTAAATATAACAATTAAAATCAAAATCATAATAATCAATACATTTCAAATATTCATAATCTTCGTAATTTATTTTAAACTTACTACAAAATAATTCAAAATCATGATAAATATTTTCAAAACCAGGAAAAGGATTAACAAAATTTTGATAATATCTTCTGCGATAATTAATAATTCTTATAAAATCATTTAAAATTTTTTTAAACTCAACTAAGTTTAAAATATCATCACTTTTAATCTCAAAATTTCTTAAATCTTTAAAATTACTTGTATTTATTTCATAATAAAATTTTTCAATTAATTTTTTTATTTCATCGACTTTTGGATTATTAAATAAACCACAAGTTGCTTCTTTGATATTATCAATAAAATATTTTATTTTATCATTGACACGTAAAACAAATAAATATTCTTTCTTAAAATCCTTTGCGTAATCTGGAATAACCTTGCTAATCATTGTGTTTTATTATTATATTAATTTCTTTAAATCATTTTATTTTTCCACTTCAACCTTAGTAAAACAGGTTTTACCAGAAATTAGTTGATAACGGTACTTAATCAGCTAATGACGTATTTAATCAGAAAAAAAAGTCAATGATAGAAAATAACCAGAAAAAAGTCTATGACGTAAGACAGAATTTAATTGAACAATGACAGAAGATAAACTCAGAAATTTTTTGAAAAAAGTACAAAAATTTCTTTGTCTAAATTCCGTCATTGAAATTTGGGGTCGAATGAGGGAAATAATTGAAAAATGACAGCGAAAAAGTACCAAGTGAGTGAGAGACATGGCATCATTACATAACTACTGAGGAACGAAACCACCAAAGATGCTGTAGTGGTGGGGTGAGTAAAGTACTGATCAGACGAGTTGCTTGATATTGATGAAACAAACTGGAACCTTATCAGTAGCGTTCTTGTGATCTATCTCCCGTTTTTCCCAATGGCATAAAAGTTTACGCCAAACATACCTCATTGTACGTGTTAGGATAAGATATTAAGACACTAAACTAGGGGATCAGTTTAAAGCAGCTGAGAACTGAGAATCCAAGTGGTTTCGCAAACGGCTAAACTAAAACTCGCCATGGAATCGCCCTCAAACGGCAAAAATGCTTTAAAAAATCGTCCTAAACGAAACAAGGAGATGAGGTAAGAAGTTCTGATGTATTAACTGTGATTGTCAGAGAAAACCGGGCAGGAGCAAAAGATCGAGGTCGGCGTTTGACCTCCATCTTCTTACCATAGGAAAGCCACCTGAAAAGATTATAAACGGTTGTACTTTCAAAAGTTGATGGGTTTTTGATTTGAAGAAAAAAATTTTCTTGAAACCAGGGCCTTTCACGAGCATGAAATATCTTGATTTTCGGCCAACTTTTGTTGAACCTATATGAAATAACACGAAGCGAAAAAAAATGCCTTTCTTTTTTTGACATCTTTAACCTTCAATAAACCGATTGAAATATAATTTTTAATATTTCTCCCAGTTCCATGTCTTTCATGTCGCACTTGATATTACCGCCAAGTCGTTAATGAACCAGACCCAGGTTTCTGCCATTTTCACACTATTTTCTCAAAAGTGCGCGGTTTTTTTTAAAGAAAGTTACTTTTCTTGATAGCCTATTAAAGCTTTGCTAAAATGCAGCAAACTTAAAAATGGTATCTCTCAGTAACTCGGAATAACTGACTTGAAAAGTTCCGCTAAAATAGCGTGAAGCCAAAAAATTCCCGCCAAATTTTCACCAACGAATTTTTTTCCATCAACTTCTCTCGGCATTGAGCTCTCACATCCTCAGAAAGGTCTTCAAGAAGGTGATCAGGTTGAACCTCTTTCACTTGTTATAGTGGCTATTAGATTGTAATTTTGACAAAGTCCGCATTTAATTCAATAAAATCAGATATCAACTGAAGGAATGAAATTGGCCCAATTTTTCCACGAAATATTGTTTTTCGTGACACGTTAGATCGAACCCCTGTGAATTTATTCGACGTTACTTTGTCTATCTTTGCTGAACAGTACAATTAGTAAAATGATAAGAGGAAAAATTAAAAAATTGTGTTTAATTACTGATGTTTACCGAAAAACTGTTGTTTACATAATACCGTGATAATATCAGTGTGTTTTAACCTGCATGTAGGATTGATTTAATTCGTCACGTAAGCCTTCCGACGAAAGACTGCCTGCTTTGCTGGATAATGCATGGTTTGCTTAAATCTGTAATCAAGGATTGTTCGTTTTCAACGGAAGAATCGTCGTGTACTGAGAGTGGATTTGGATCTGCCACACGGCGTCCACTTGGGGTGCAAACAAGATATGACCTCGCGCTTTGTCAGTCTTGGAATAAGTGCAAAATGGGGTCGAGGAGAAGCAGAAGTCAGCGAATCAGAACTGCTTTTAAACCGGGCGGGACATATTGGTGTTTTAAGAGAAGAAGAAAAAGAGGCTTTAACCATTAGCCCAAAACATAGAAAACACTTAACTACCGACTAGCCTGGCCGTAAGAATTACGTTTGCTGTACCCGGCTCATCAAGGGTTGAAAAGGCGACTTAGTCCCCCCAGACGTGTTAATGCAAAAATGTCTGCAGAAATATTTGTTGAGTTCAAGAAGATTGTTCCTATCTGGGTAGGTGGGTGAGGACTTCTCTTACATTTAGTCAATTATCGCATAGTCACGTGCGGTTTAGGTTATGGGACGTCTGATACGTGCATTTCATTTCACTGTTCATTCATGTCTCCACTTACAGTAGTTTTTTGAGGCATGTAATGTTGAACAAAAGTAAACAGCATAAAACCATGGAATGACGATTCACTAATATTATACGAGGTAAAAAACATGTATGCCAATGAAATAAAAAAAATGCCAATACAATTAAGCAAACCTGATAATTTCACTCTTATCAAAAACCAATCTTATTTTAAAGTTGTTTGCGCATGTGCTCAATAAAGTCTGCGAATTATGCCTCGTATAAAAATTGGACCAGTGAGAGTATTATCAGCTATATACAAAACGTTTCACAAAAACTCTACAGTAGACATGTATTATGTTAATATAAAAATATGGAAGAAAAAATACCATTGGCTTAGTAAAAAGAATTGTGATCTTCTTGCACTGTTCATTTCCAGTAAAAGTGTCTGGGAGGTGGGGGAGGTAGTAGTCCATCAGCTGAGAGCCGAAAATTTGGGTTTATGGCTCACTCGAGGGGAACAGCCGAAACATGTCACATATTAATCTTTGACTATTAAGAATCACAAAAATGCATGATAGCAAGGATAGAACGGTAGCTCTCACTTTGAAATCGAAATTTAAATTTGCCTCTCTTTACCTCCTTTTGGCCGCCATCTTGAATTTCGGGGAAGGATGAAAAGTTGTTTACATTCTTTGAACGTAAGGGACTGGTAAAAAAGTATAGGGAGGGGGGGGGGGGGGGG